GTTGTTATCTAGGGTCACACCCAGATTCCTTGCAGTCTGAGTCGGGGAAACAACTGAGGTGCCGATGTTGATTGTTAGGTCAAGAGTGGGAGAGAGAGGGGGAAAAGGAGGTAAGTGTGTTGGTGGAAGGAGGGTCTGGTGACCCAGCGGTGAGTAAAGGTGAGTCAGAAAAAGAAGAGCGAATATCAACCTTTTTTTCAAAGTGGTTAACAAAGTCGCTTGACAGAAGTGAGGAGGGGGGAGGGGCTTTTGGAGGGTCCAAGAGGGTGGAGAAGATGGAGAATAGTTTTTTAGGATTGGAATAGGAAGATTGGATCTTATCTTGAAAGAAAGTGCTTTTTGCCTGAGAGATCGAAGCAGAGAAAGAGGAGAGCCTGATAGGTTAGGAGGTCGTCACGGTGTTTGGATTTTCACCGTTTCCGCTCTGCTGCCCTAAGGACGGTTCTATTAGCACGCAGTGCATCATTTAGCCAGGGAGCAGGAGGGGACTGACGAGCCTGCCGAGATGTGAGAGGACAGAGAGAGTCCAGAGTGGATGAGAGAGTAGAGAGGAGAGTTTCTGCAGCAGTTTGAAGGCAGGAGTTGGAACGAGTCAGAGGAAGGGAGGGCTGAGAGCACCGACGAGGCAAAGGTAGAGGGGGAGAGGGAACGAAGGTTACAGCGGACAAGTGCAGGATGAGAAGAGATTAGTTTGTTATGTTTGGAAAGGGGTAGAGAGAATGAAATGAAGAAGTGATCGGATGTGTGGAGCGGGTTTACAGAGAGGTTAGAAGTAGCGCAGTTCCTTGAGAATATGAGATCAAGGACATTGCCAGCTTTATGAGTCGGTGGGGACGGAGACAGTGAGAAAGCAAAGGCGGTTAACAGGGATGTTAGTTCGTCTATCTTCCCCGTCTGGAGGTTGAAGTCTCCGAGAAGTACAGCGGAAGGGCCAGTTTCAGGGATGTGTGAGAGGAGATTATCTAATTCCTCCAAGAAGTCCCCCAAGGCGCCTGGTGGACGGTAGAGAACAACAATGGTTAACTGTATAGGATGGGTTACTGTGACGGCATGGAATTCAAAGGTGGAAGGAGTGAAGTTAGGTAGCTTGAAGAGGGAAAAGCTCCATTTGGGAGAGAGCAGGAGACCAGTGCCACCTCCTCTGCCAGTTGGTCTGGGTGTATGGGAGAAGGAATATGCAGTGGAGAGAGCTGCTGGGGTGGATGTGTTGGATGGAGTAATCCAGGTCTCAGTGAGAGCAAGGAAATCCAGAGACTGCAGGGAGGCGTAGCCAGAGATGAAGTCAGCCTTAGGAACAGCTGACTGGCAATTCCACAGGCCACCTGAAACTAGATGTTGGATCTCAGTGGAGCATGTGGGATAGATGAGAGCAGGCCGGTTATATCGATTAGGAGATACACGGGGCCAGTGATAATTGCGAGAAGACACATGAACAGGAATGGAGAAAATACACATGATTATAGCATGAGGGGTTAGAAAACTAAAGAAAAGAGAAATAAGACACCAGCTCAATCAGAGTAGGATTTGCCTCCTCTTTGCTTCCCTCGTGAGTCCCGTAGGACTCCAATGTCTTTGTCAGTCTTCGGCTGTCTGACGCTTAAGCTGATGCTCAGCTTGATTGCTGAGTTCTCACAGCTGTAGGGCCAGCCCCTCTAATTAGTTAACTATCTACAGCTGATGGGCGACAATAGACTGGCCCTGCCTCTATTGTAATGCAGGCTTGAGTGCTGAGACATGTGCAGCAGGTTTGGCCTGAGCAGATCTGAGATTTAAAATCTCTCAAAAGCGCCCTGAAATAATGATTAATGTATAATGGCAACTGTGTGTTTTCAACATATGTTACAAAAAAAAATGCAAGCATCTTTTTTAGTAGCACGAGTAGGACACATCTTCAAACATACCAAAAGGGCGATATCAAGGATGGTAAACAGTGCTTTGCACAAGGGGCAGGTGACATTCCTCCAGTTAAATCCGACCTCCGGGCGGCTAAACTGCTCCATCAACACCAGCCTGGACTGCTCTGAGGTCGGTGCTGGATCACAGGACCCGAACAACAGCACCAGAGAGCAGGTGAGCAGGAACCAGGAGGGCAGCGAGGGGAGCAGCATGGTCCCGAGTGACAGCAGGTGTCCGGTGACAAATGTTTGTTTGCAGCCTCTGTGAGAAACACGAGAAAAGCAGAACAAAAAGCGAGGTGTGTCAAGGAAGTACAACTCAGTTAGTAGTTAGAAACTTCAAATTGAGAATAAATGAATCACACACAAACACATTTAAAAGCGTTTCGACACAAAACCGGGTTTGCTAACAAGAAGCTAGCTTGCGCTCTTGTTGCTACTGTACCTTCAAACAAGTGCAGACAGGAGGGTCGTTGTCTTCTTCCCCGGGTGGAGTTAACACAAGGCGGACTGAGTAAAGCCAGTTCCGCTCCTACGTGCACAAATGGTGCTGCAGAAAAAAGCCCTGCTGTGTACTCGTCGGTGGGGGCTTGACTTGTTGTGAAGTGAGCCTCTCTGCTGGGATTTATGAAAGCCACAGAAAGTCAGCTGACTCGTCACGTGGCACATCAGTTGGTGGATCAATTTAGCTCTGGTGTGCTGAGAGATATGTTTGCAGTGATGTAAAGTAACTAAGTAGATTTACTCAAGTAATGCACTTAATTAAAATTGTTAGGAAAGTATACTTTACTAGAGTATTTCAATGTTTTACTCTATGGTTTTTAGTACCTTTAGTTACTTTGTTGATTTGTTTAAAGATGTGAAAATAATCAACACTTAAATAAGACTTCATTTACATCACAAGCTACCCTGCAGCATACAAAGTATTTAACTTTTACCAGCTTTGATAACACTTAAACACATCAATAATTATAATCAGAACATGTAATCTATCAGGGCTGCCAACACTCACGCATTGAGCGCAATTAACCCATATCTCACGCCACACTTGCCTTTCCTCACGCTAAGTTTTCGTCCAAAATAAATGTATATAAATATACAAATAAAGTGAAGGAACAGCAAACCGAGTGGTCTTCTGGCTTAGTTCAGTAAAGTTGGAACGATATTGGGAGAATCTGATTTCACGGATCAATAACTCATGAACAAAACGTTATTCAGACACAAATGACGACACCTAAGTACCGTTGTAAGGTTGACAACGAACTATCAATCAACTACAATCACATTTTGATTAAAAAGCCAATACGCGCCGTCCTCCGAGCTGGAGACATTACATTGATTGGTCTCTATCTGCAGCCGGAGAAGAAGCGAGTGCAAAGTGCAACTCCGAAAAAAGAGAATACAATAATATTCAATCACTATTAGGCCTACACTATATTACTACCAAACTCACCACACACATCAATAGTCTCCTGTGTGTCATACTACAGCAAGGAGTTTGGAAGAATATGCTTTTGAATAATTGTGGGGAATATTTCTAAATCTTCAGGCATCATCTTAAATAACTTTACTATTATACAGTATATTTCTACCAAACTCACTATTTGCATTGTTGTTGTTAGCGTTAGCTTAACGGATATTAGAAGCTGTTTCTAAAACAATGAGAGGGAGAGCTCTGTCCAGTCAGACTGAGAGATAACTACAGCTCAGTGAGGTAAGGGACTCTCTGTTTAGATAGTTAACTTTAGTTATCTCAGTGGGTCTCAAACGGTTTGGTCACCATTTATGAGAATAAATGAAAAACAGTCATGAAATACTATATGACAGTAAAACAAGAATACAGTTTAAAAGGTGAGTGATTTGTAAAATATCCATAGAGAAAAAGAAAATCTGTGTACAGTTCTGTTTCATATGGGTGTTGAGAAATGTATCCATAAATTCATTTTGCTCTCAAAATGCACCAGGTTGATGCATTTAACTTCAATATTTAGCATGCCCCCGGACCCCCCTAGAGGAGGTGAGGACCCCCCCCCCCCACTTGTAAAATAGCACTTTACCTCTGCTTACACCTATATGCCATTTTATATGCTGTGAGCTGATTATCGAGCCTTCATTGTAAGAGTCGCGGGTATGTGCGTGTTCCACTGTAGCGCCCGTGGGAAATCCTAGTTTGTACATGCTCAATACATTTGTAACACTGCACACATGAACGGTTCACCAAAAAAAAATATCACTCCAAGCTGAACTCAAATGTTGGCAGCCCTGAATCTATATTATACTGAAATGGGCCATTCTGAATACAAACTACTTTTTTACTTGAGTAACCTTTTGATTGCAGGACTTTTACTCGAGGCCTTGCTGTTGGCCATGATGGTTGTGCAATAATTCACCATTGTCAGTATGTGCGTCTGTACTGTGTATTGTGTTTGTTCAAACGGTGTATGAGTGATGATATGTGTATGTATTTTTAATGTTTATTATGTTTGTATATGTAAATGTATGCGGAACTGCAGGATGAAGTCCAGAACAAATTTCCTTACGGGGACAATAAAGTATATCGTATCGTACTTATAACAGAGTATTCCTACACTCTGGTACTTCTACTCCAACTTAAACAAGATCTAAGTACTTTTTCCACCTTTTTATTTATCTGGGCACAAGTTTTTATGTTCCTTGCACCCTAAACCCTAGACCCTAAAGTATAAAAAGGACATCTTTTTGCTCAACATAATGTACAAATGGCTGATTCTTACTCTGCATTAAAAGAGAAAATATTTCTACAGAGCAATTCAACTTATGTTCTCTAAGAAATCTGCAACCATAGCCTATTAACTGAGCTTGAATATTCCCTATTGACCTTAGGTATTTAGAGATGGTACATGTGTTGTAAGATTTTCTGGAGCTTTCAGCCCCATCTTGTGGCCTTCATCAGCCGAGAGTTTGCTCAGGTGGACTATCAACTGAATCATCCCAACAACTGAAGAAAGCCACAAGATTTGTCCGAATACTTACCAACAAGCCATCCTTGTGATAAGAAATATTTTGTAAGCGTTAAGTGTTATACATCAGGAAGATACTGTCTCAAAATAAATAAATAAACAAGGATTTGTCATAAATATAAAACATTTATTGTTTTTGGTATTGGTTAATGTGTATAAAAGCATTCTGTCTTTACACATTTCTTTGGATCTGTTTCAGTCTGACTCATCACCAATATTTCAGTGAACGCGTCATAATAAAAAAGCACATAGGCAAAATAACATTTATACCTCAGATTTAAATTATACAGGTAAAGCAAAAATATAGTTATTGTTTGAGTTGTGTAGCGTAAGTGGTCTCTGACATTATTTACAGTAGCTTAGCAGATACATGATTGAAGTGAAGATAGAGTGGTTGGAGGATAAAGCATGGTAATAGCAGTGTACAGGTTGCAGGGAAGGCGTTCACTTGTCTTGCATCTTGTCCAGGATGGGGACGATCATGTCAAACTTGGGTCTCTTTGCCGGGTCTTCGTTCATGCAGAGCCTCATCAGCTTACAAATATGAGGAGAAATCCCTGGGGGAATGGTTGGCCGAAGACCTTCAAGAGCAACCTGCAAAGTGACAACGATACAAAGTCAGAACCAGAAAAAGCCCTGGAATACTTTGAACGTATGGTATTTGTCGCGCAATTATTGAATAATGCAGATATGTGAACACACAGTACCAGGCCTGTGGGTAGATAAATACTGTGCCCACTTACCTTCATGCCTATCTCCATCTGTGAGAGGTCAGCAAAGGGGACCTCTCTGGTAACCAGCTCCCACAGTAACACCGCAAAGCTCCACATGTCAGCCGACCTTCTGTTAATATCTTCAGGCCTCTTCTGCAGGGCTGAAAACCAGAGGGACAAGAAAACCATAAAACCCAGCGGGACAACTCATTTGTTGGTTTGTTGTTATTTTGTAACAACGGCAACACACCAGATGACGACCACTTTACTGCGACTAAATTATATAGTAGAGTGTGTTCCTTACTTAATGACTCATAAAGTCAGAGGAGGAAGAAGGCGGAGGGAAAGAGAAGAAAGAAGGAGAAAAGGGGTAAATACCTTCAGGAGCCATCCATGCCGGAGAGTACATACGACCAGGACACTGGAAGGAGAACTTAGCATCTGACATGCTTATCCTGGCTGTCATGTCCTCATCGATCTGCAAATGAACCACATCAGCTTGTAACTCACAGTATACCATTAACTAATAGACTAAACCCTTGGTTGCTTCTAAGTCAGTCTTACCATGACATGCTTACTGTTGAGGTAAAGCCGTGAAACCATTGGTTCCAAGGTGTGGAGGAAAGCCATGCCACTGGCAATGTCCAATGCAAACTTCACTGCTTGGTTTTGGTCCACCACCAAAGCTGAGGAAGAAAAGGAAAAAAGACAAAAATGATAACTTAAAGGTCTCCTATTAAACTCTTTTTCATCAATAGGTCTCTTAAGGAGCCACTCCCCACGCCCCTCTGAGAGATATTTGGTTAAAAAGAACTCAATTGTGCTCTAGGAGGAGATTCAGGTGATAAGGGGGGGGGGGGGGGGGTTACCTTGGTTGGTGATTGGCTAATGGTTACATAAGACACGCATACAGTAAAGTGGCCAAAATCTGATCAGCTCATTTTCAGACAGGTTTTTATATAAATGGATCAGGACAAAAGAGAGAGAATCTTTTTTCCTGAAACTTGCAGAATCTATTTACACAGAGGGGACACGTGTTGATGTAGAAAAGACATGAAGAAGTGGATTTAGCATAATAGGTGACCTTTAAATGTGAGATTTAGCCAATGTGATTGTATACATGTATATAAACACAAATGAGTTACTTGTGCCCTGGTGCAGTATGTTGAAGAGGGATCCGTATGGCATGTAGTGGGTGATGACGATGGGGTGAGGGGAGGGAGGAGCCTGACAGGCCCCAAGAACAGGCAGGATGTTTGGATGGGAAAAAATTCTATGGAGGCAAGATAGAAAGAGAGTGAAATAAAAGTACATGATTATGTAATCTTAGAACACAGAGGGCTTTCTCAGATGATTAGAAATGAACAACTTCAACCTTAAGACAAGAAATGTCCTTAAAGCTTGCTCAACTCTTCAAAAGGCTTCCCATTTGTATCATGTGAGTCCCTCCGGCTCTTTAAAGTTAGGATGAAGCTTTTTCATGTTTGCAATACAGCCCAATAAGTTATCTCTAAATATTGTATCATGGTCATCCCAAGTACTTCCATGCGTATGCTTCAAATCTGAAAAGACAACAGGGACTGAAGGCAACATGAAGGCAAACTGCTAAGATCTACCACCTCCACACTCAGCCTTTCTGCTGGGGTTGCTTGTTTGAATTGGCTGATCAAGGGTTTCTTTATTTGTTTACTATTGAGATTTGGCTGTGATTGTTTTGATGTCACTGGATTCTGTTGGGTGTAATTATTAAGCTTGGCCAGTTTGAAATGTGTTCCTTTATGGTATGTTCTGCTTGTTTGATTTACACTGTTGCATCATTTTTGTTGATTTATTATAATTTATTTGGAATTTCTGTATGAATCCATGTGACACTTGCATGTGAGTTGCTGCTTTTAAACTATGCAATCAAACCGCCATAATGGTGTCAAAAATGATTCACTAATGCAGATGTGTTTTTGTGGGCCCTAGGGCACATGTCTTAACATGCCTGCATAACTTCTCTTGAAATTGTCTGTACATACTACAATGTAAGCAAAGGCACATTTTTCTGCCTTTTGGGCAATAATAGGGTGCAGCAGCCAGTAAAAGCACAATATAAACACTTACACAAGAACATTAATATGACAAACAGGATTGAACACATTTGTTTTCCCACTGTAATTGATTGAATTCTATGTTATGATGTATTACATTATTACTTTGATGGGGGAGGTTTCTGGAATTTGCTTTTCTGATTGTAGAGCATAATGCATCAGCTGCCAACAACATCCACAACCCATGTCCTTGACCTCTAGCAGGAAAAGCTCCTCTTCTCGTTGCACAAGAATCCTGCACCAGATCCTGAATTCTCTTTGACCACGGCAACCTCAATGGCCACCAATCAATCACATCCATCCTCACAGAAGCCCTTTGTTTACCAGGATGTGTTAGACTATTTATGGTTTTTCAGTGCTTCTCAAAGTGTGGTCCGCGGACCACTGGTGGTCCGTGAGCGCCCCCTAGTGTTCCGTGAGTATATTGGTAACATTTCACATTTGAAATAAATAGATAAATTAAAGTTTTCCGTACTCTCGCAGGAATATCTCCGCAATGGAGCGAGCTTAAGTTTTCTTTTGATTGCATGATATAGCCCAGCGCAACACCTTCATCACACATGTTACCACGTGTTTGTACCATTTTCAGGCGATTTGTAATCTGTTCTAGAAAAACGATGTGATTTCGGATATTTGTGGAGTTAGGTGGTCCGCGAGTGTTTTTTTATTGGTTAAGTGGTCCTTGGTATGAAAAAGTTTGAGAAACACTGGTTTAGATAAACAGGCTTTTATGAGTTTTAAACAGCATTAACAAATGTAAAAGCCTCTGTTTTTTGTGAGCAATCAGTTTGACAGCATGCAATGATGTGATGCCAACAAATGAACCCCGGTATTCAATTCTGTGTGCAGACAGAATGGCCGCACAACATGAGGAAAATCATAATGCAATAATGTGGTTGAATATTGTGAAAAGGATATTACTTTCAATACTTCAAGATCAAGATCTTTATAAACTTTTTTTAATCCCAGAGGGGAAATTTGGATACTTGCTAAAATACAAAATAATGGGAATTATTCTCAACATCCTTTACTGAACAAAGTGAACATTTAACTTAACACCAATGCAAAAAAGAATACATTTTAAAGTAAAACATTACGCTTTGAAACATTTTCAATTGAATCTGTCTTTTAACTTATTCAAAAAAGTTCGCAGTTGACCTTGCGATTACAAAATATATATTGTGCAGCCCTAGCATACACAACGAGAAATACTGATACTAGTCAACCGATACCACTCTTTATTTATTAAGATACCAGGTTGAAATTACCTGAGTTTTGGATGCTCCTCATTGAAGTCTCTGCTCTTCCTGGTGGTCCAGTCTCTCACCTGTAGCACCTTCACTATAATCTCATCCCCTTGCCACCGACCCTGCCATAACTACAGAGAGAGCACACAGTCAAGCGCTGAAAAGAGAATCAAAAAGACTGACATGGCAGTAAATAAGAGTTCCACTGACCTCACCGGACTGGTTTTCATTGATTTTTGCCAGGAGCGAAAGCTGCTTATAATCAATACCAGCCTGCTTGTTGAGAGTCCCATTACCTAAAAAGGGCCCAAAAAAGGAATAATGAAACAAATATTTCAATTTGATACGATGACTTTGTTCCTTTTTATCAAATGAACGTTACTCACGAGGTCGTGTTCGCATGGTGCCCTTCCAGAACTTTTCTTTATAGGGGACTTTGGACATATTCTGGCCCATTTTCTCTCCCTTTTCTATAAAAAAGAAGTATTAATACAAGAAGAGAGATGTGAGCAATTTCTTTTTGACATGAATGATTCACTATTCTAAGAAAATATTCCTTGAAATGACCTCTGACCTTGAAGCAGCTGTTTTAGGTGAGGCTTGGCCTTGTCCATTGGTGTCTGTCCATACCTGTTACACACACACACCTGGGCACCAATGTTCACCAGGTCCTAGAATATAGGGGTTATATTTATTATAGATTAGATTTGAGGAATAGGATTTGCATTAAATGCAACTACACTGATATAAAAGGCACTGTAGTGTCCATTTCTCCCCAGAAGAGGGACTTGATTGTGCTAAAAGAAGTGCAAAGTATCTGTTTATTTGTATTTTGTACTGTACCTCAGCCACCTCGTCTTTGCCCCAGAAGCAGGCGTAGTGGAGTGGCGTGTTCCCATGCTCGTTGACTGTATTGGGGTCGGCTTTGCACTGAATCAGCTGGCATTAAACATGTCATAAAGTGAGTCAAATTGAACCTCCCAGGCAGTGTAATCAGGGCATACATAGTCCAGCTGTAACCAAAGTATGTTTACCTTTGCCACAATATCTTTATGTCCATGACTGGAAGCGAGGTGTAACGGGGTATCGTCTCCTCGGTTCATCACATTAATACGAGCGCCTCTCATGATGAGCATGTCAACAACTCCGCTCCTCCCTTCCCTGCACGCCCAGTGGAGGGGACTGAAGCCATGATCATCACTAAAGCACAAGACACAGGAGGATCATTCATATTTGCCAAGTGATAAACTTGGTTTGACACACTTCATTTGAATATTTATTTAAGATGAACTATTTTGAGGTTAGTTGTCCCCAAAAACATGCATAGGAGGCTGCTATCTTAATAACTCGGTTCAGGTTCTCACACCCACTACCTTCCAATCTTTATTTAGACTCAAGCACATGCTTTCCCGTGCCGCCTGCAGCGTTTACGCATCTGAGGCCCTGTGATAAATATGTCTGGGGGACCTGGAATGCCTGCTAACATATGCAAACATGCCAACACGAAGACAGCGTACATGGCACTGCTGCAGTCGGGCTGTCACCTATGTGTGACCGGCCCCTTCACCCGAGTGACTCCTTTACATTGGCTGACCCCGAGGCAGCTGCTGGGGCTCCTCGAAGCTTCCTGCAAAGCCAAAAACACTACACTCTGTTTGATAATAAACCTCAACAAGGCTTGTATAGCCTGTAGGAAATGGCTGCAGTACTAGCTCACACTGAAGTGAAATAGCAGTTAGTCACATTCTCTGCCAATTCTGATCCAGCACTGGACAGACAGCTCATAGTCTGACTAACCCTGTGTGCTATAATAAGTAACGGTAAAAAAACTCAGGAATGACAGAGCGGAAAATACACTTCAGCTACATTCTCTGTGAGCCCCCCTCTCTTTTTGTTCCCGGTGTCTTCTGGAGGGGCATTTAATGTTTGTCTTGGTGGACTCACTCACATAATTGGGTATTTTCCCACCAACATATTCACGTATTACACATTATTGGATATTCTGAAGGGGAAAAAAGGACTGTTTTACACAAACCATTGAGCCTCTTCAGATTTACAGCTAAAGCCGGCCTCCAGCATAATGACTGGTCTCTCAGATGTTTATGTGGGATTGCAACTAGCTGCCGGAGAAGCTCTGCCAGCGAGGGCCTGGCCCTGTATGGACTTGAACAGAGGAAATGGCCTTGGCTGTTGCGTGGTTGGCTAGCAGCTCTGCAGCACTCAAAGTCAACGTCAACAATCTGCACATATATGGCCTGGCTCAAGAATGAGATAACCGAGGTCTTTAGCAGTGAGGTCTTGTGGCTCAAGGAAATTATGTAAACAGGCAGAAGTGGTGTGTATATCCTATAATATCTAATAGAGCTTTAACTTGGGACCATTGTAAATGTGTCTAACACTTACATTTAATGATATTTATTTTTAACATGTTACTAATGTAATATAAAAGTCAATCATTGTTCCGAGGCAATAGGGTGACATCTTCAAAGTGGTTGTTTAGTCTGAACAACAGTATAACAACTCAGCATATTCTATCTAAAATGGTTATGTGATTATCAGATGTACTAGTTCTGTTTTAACTTCTGAAATTCCAGCTTAAGTCTGTGATACTTTTTCAGTCTGGTGTAGGATGAGTGTAGGTCATTTAACCCACAAGCTCAACGGATTGCCCACTTCTTTTTATACACACACAGTTTTGAGGGATGACATCATAAGGAGACATTTCCAAGGAAAAAAGTGGACTGGAATTACCAAAGCTGGATGACGTTCAGCAGAGTGTGGAGTTGCAGGGAGAGCACAATATGGAAAGTATTTGACTACCTCTAATGTGCTCTGTATGCACACACACACTCCAGCACAGAATTACTCAGCCTCCCTACCAAATGAGGTGCGTTTGATACAACGTCAACTCCATTCATTGGAGGGCCATACTCCATTTATCATTGCAAAGAAAGCTAGACTCTCAAATCTCAGAGAAGAACAAGGCATTCATCCCCAAAGCTGTATGTATTTTTGTTGAATGGTGATGGTATATCTGCTTACCCCAAGTTGAGGTCATTCTCTGTGTTGTCCAACCACAGACGAACAGCAACAGAGTTCCCTTCTCGACACTGTGTGAAGATGTCATCCATGGTTATGCTGCGGGTCGCCTCGCTTGTCTGCTTGCTCTTTCAATCTCTGTTGAGATCAGGAACATGTAGCCTACAAAATATATTACATAAAGACTCCTTTTATAAAGTTGTTTTGGTTAAGCTCCTGGAGGTCTGTACAAAAGATTCTGCCAGGTATTGCACATATTTCAGGACACTGATGTAGGTAATCAGACATCACTCATTGTCTTTTGAGCATAGGTTGACTTCTATTAGGTCAGGTCTATTAGGACTTCGTGTGTCAATGTGTCAAAAGCATCATCTGTATTTATTAGTTTGTCTTTTGTTTTATTAGTGTAAGGATAAACATGAATTGTAATAGCTGACCAATCTTCAAGTCACTTATTCTTAAATGCAACATTAACACTATCTGATGCACAGAGAAACATAAACATCCAACCAGATGTGAAATTATAAAGTCAAATCCTGAAATAGCTGCACATTCCTACATTTCCCCTTTGCTCTATCCTCCTCCGTGGAAATCGGATGGGCTGGCCTTTGGGATCACTTTTGAAATCTATTGTTAAAAAGTCAAAAGTGAAGTTGGACATCCACAACACAACTTCCTCACACACAATGGAAACAAAACGCATACGTTAACTTAGTTAAAACTCTTACCAGCTGCAAATCGATCGATCGTTTCTTTTATTTTTCCGAAAGTCGGTCGTCTCCTCAAATTTAAGAGCAGAGAATAGTTTGTCTGAGTCCACGCCCCGCTCCTCGGAGTATATGCGGCTACTGGTGAGGAGTCAGCCCTGCTACTGGCAGCCTGTCCCAAGACAGCGACCAGGTAGCGCCCCCTGCTGGAGGCTATGCGCTGATGCTGCATAACAACACGAGGGCGAACCTAGGGATGTTCAAATTCAATTTCAAAGGTTTTATTATCATATGCACATAAGATACAGTGTAGAAACAGCAATTACATTCTTCTGACCTGAGCTCCTCCGACAATGCAACATAAAATAAAAAATAAGTCTATATACATGTAAATATAATATGATATAAGAATAGAATATGAAATTAAAGGAAGTAGACCCGCTTTAGGACATGTAGGCCTATTAAGCATTAATTTATTCTTTAATTTTTTTATTTCATACATGAATATTTTCCAAATGCCTGAATATGAAAAACAAACCTCTTGAAGACACACATACAATCCACAGGTATTATTATTGATTGAATATTCGTTTCCTCACAGTTGGGAGAAGTACTCAGATCTTGTACTTGTACCAGAGTGTAGGAATACTCTGTTACAAGTAAAAGTCCTGCATTCAAAATGTTACTCGAGTAAACAAGTATTAGCATTAAAAGTACTTATTATGCACACGTACTAACTTTGATCCTGCAGGTTGGCATGTGAATTTACTCCAGGTGTAACTAAAGTCTTATTTCAGTGTTGATTATACATTATGAATCCAAATCTGAAAAGTAACTAAAGGTATAAATGAGATAAATGTAGTGGAGTAAAAGTACACGATTGACCTCTGAGTTGTAGTGGAGTAGAAGTACAATATAGCATACAATGGAAATACTCAAGTAAAGTACAAGTATCTCAAAATTGTACTTAAGAACAGTACTTGAGTAAATGTACTTAAACTCTGCAGTTTACCAATCATTTGAGATAGAGCCAATACTAGATTTTTGAAAGAGACAATGTATTTATGTTTTTATTTTTGTTTAAACGTTAGCATTTGATTCTTATTTTTTAATTGTTTTATTACTATTTATAGCAGAAGTACTATTCACAGTAGTTAAATCCTGGTCTTACTAATAATTTACAACAGATAATAACAGAAAAAAACGTTGCTGCGAAATAACAATGCTTTTTGTTGTTGTTGCTGTAATAATGTAGATGTCCCATATGTCCCTGCTTTGGAACCAATGAAGGATAACTGGTTCTCATGATTTCTTACACATGCGTCAGTGCTCTCTTGTGGCTATCACGTAATGTTGAGCCTGTGTCTAATTTACTGTAAACATTTCCTTGGTTTCTTGCAACTTGTTGGCCAACATATATACTGATACTGTCAATCTGTCATAAGAAAATATCCGACATGACTGACATATTGGTCTGCCTTGATGTTTTTCAGTAGTGATTGTTATAAGATTTACAGAAGCCATTCTGAACTGTCACAGCAGGAATGAGAGGAGTGTAAATCATGTAACGAATGATTTCATCTGAATGCTATTTAGCCGCTTTAGTCTCAGAGTGCTGGTTTGTGCATGCTGGCTCGCCGTTACACTTGTCAGGACTTATCGTCACACTTGAATAGAACAGCGCAACGTTAAATGTTTCTTAAAAAATGTACTTATCCTACTATGACAAGTCAGGCTATCTTCCATAATAAAGGCCTGTTGCATGGAGACTGACAGGAAGTGGATTTTTGAGGCCAATACCAAAGCTTGAGAGTAGAAAATCACAACAATATATCACCTGACATTTTTTATTACATCAACAAAGGAAAAAATACAATGAGCCAAATTTATCAGGACATGTTTATAGGTTGTCCATAAGTTATGTCTGCCTATTGTTGCAATCGCAAGATGTTAATAACAAATGACTATTGCATGACCACATCCTCCAACCTGGAAAATAAGTGGTTTTAATGAACCCCTTTCGTATCTTCATCATTTATTCTAGCATCCTTTAACATCCCAGCTGACAGTTACACTGAAGAACTTCACTACCTTGTGGTTTTGGACAGATGCTAATGGTGTTTAAGATTGCTTATCATGGCTTTGCTGCTGGATTATAGACTGTAGCGTGTTTGGTGCAAATACAGGAAATGATGGGAGGAGAAGGTGATGAAGGTCATGAACTGAATTTACACCCACAACAGTGAAAGTGAGTGGAATACGCCCAAACCACTGCTGAGTTTGAGCATCCGGCAGCATGAGGGCATTTCATTTAGTCAAACAACATTGTCAAAAGAAAATGTAACATCAAGAAAAACTGAATGAATGTTATTTTTATTGTTAAATCTTATTTCTGCATTTACTGTAACCTTTCAAAACAAATGTTCATGACTGAATGATTCACTTAACTGTCTTGCACACACCTACTCTCATATACACTGCTGCTACAACAACCTCCTTTCTTTCTTTACCATAAAAGCACATACACTAAGGATTTATAATATCTGCATATTAAATAATCATGAGGGACATGCTTGAATATGTGTTTCTCTCCATAGGGGTTTACATTGTTCTCCTGGTAGATTGCAGGGCAGTTGAGCTAACAATGTTTTAAAAAAAAAAAAAATATCTAAACATAACGACTCCTGTTCAATTCGTGTGAGGTCTTTAAGCTGCTAATGTTGTCAAGCAAAAGCAACATACTTTTAACTTACAGAATGAAAAAGAAAAGCATGACTGTAGCCAGACAATGTTATATGCCATCATGATATAATGTATAACCATTTCTGATTTAGTTAATAATTTATGTTGAACTATTAATAAACTATTCTTTTCAGCAATATGGGGAATATCACATGTGCTGCCAGTGAGAGTTACTCATCATGGTAGTCATGTTGCTAACAGTGAGACCTGATTCAGACCCAGATTGACCATCATTAAGGGTCCGAAGGTGGGGGAACCACTGGGGTTCTCTCTTAGCCTGACAGGCTCTCAATAGATTTAGAGACTGTAGGAGCAGCTACTGTTGGTATGGGAACATCTTCTGATAAGGATATTGGTATAGATGGCATAAACACAGGCGCTGAGATCTCAGACTCAAAGTGGGGACCAGCTATTGGTGGCGGGGGAAAGTTTGCTATGTAAGACGGTCCATTGCCAGCTTCATTGGGCGCTGGTAGACTCACTGTCTCAACCAGAGGTGTGAATGGTGAGGCAGCTGATAATCTGACATCTGTTGAAGTTGTAGATTTGGGAAAAGCAGTGTCAAAGTCATTTTGGATATCCAATCCTGCTGGCTTTAAGACTGAGCTTTGGGCCTCGGTTCCGACATCATCGATCGTCATTGAGGTAAAAGGTTGATCCAACATTGAGGGTACTTCTGGGGGTGGAGATATGGTGATGGGGGTTTGAGATGCTGCAGAGGCCTCTGTGACAGCTGGCTCAACATTTGCAGAAGCAGCGGCCTCTGCAGCCTTGGCACTTTCTGCCGCCTTGCTCTCCATCTCATCCACCCGGCGCTGCATCATCTTAGGCATCAGCTGCACATAGGAGCCCATCAGACGGTGGTTGGAGCGAATCAGCTTCCCCGCACAGCTGTCCACACACCGCTCCTGCACAGACAACAGCAATAAGAGGTGAAAACAACAGAAAGCCATTTGTAACAAAACTAAAACGGTTTGAAAAGTGCTGTTGATACAATATTAATCTAAAGTTCGTGGGAAGAGGGAGTAAAACATGCTTTTTTCAAGCCAAAGACAGCCATATTAACCAAAAAAAATAAAGTAAAGAATTTGAGACAACAGGATGCGAACACCTTTATAGCAGCGGTTTGGTGGAGACCTTTTTCAATATGACAATGACTTTGATGTCAAGTCAATGACCTTCACAGAGACCTGACCTGAAACTCATACAAGTCTTAGTTAGGGATGAATTCAAAAGGATGACTTCTAGCCAGATCATAGTGGATGTCTGATCATCACCTCAAGCTCAACCTTGACAAGACTGAGCTGCTCTACCTCCCGGGAAAAGATTGTCCCACTCTTGACCTAACAATCAACATCGGCACCTCAGTTGTTTCCCCGACTCAGACTGCAAGGAATCTGGGTGTGACCCTAGATAACAACCTGTCCTTCACTGCAAACATCGCTGCTACAACCCGTTGCTGCAGATACACGCTTTACAACATCAGGAAGATACGTCCCCAGCTGACCCAGAAAGCGACTCAGGTTCTGGTCCAGGCTCTCGTCATCTCACGCCTAGACTACTGCAACTCCCTCCTGGCTGGTCTACCTGCATGTGCCATCCGACCTCTGCAGCTCATCCAGAATGCAGCGGCTCGTCTGGTTTCAACCTTCCTAAATTCTCCCACACCACTCCGCTCCTCCGCTCCCTTCACTGGCTTCCGGTAACTGCTAGAATCCACTTCAAGACACTGGTACTTGCTTACCATGCTGCGAATGGATCTGGCCCTTCCTACATCCAGGACATGGTTAAACCGTACACCCCAGCAGCGTGCACTACGCTCTGCATCAGCCAAACGACTGCTGCGCCCTCGCTGCGAGGGGGACCCAAGTTCCCATCAGCGAAAACACGTGGGTTTGCTGTCCTGGCTCCAGATGGTGGAATGAGCTCCCCATTGACATCAGGACGGCAGATAGCTTGCACATCTTCCGGCGCAAACTGAAAACTCATCTCTTTCGACTCCACTTCGAGCGTTAGAACTATTAACGAAGCACTTATATACTAATAAAGGACTGGCTTATCTAAAGCCAGTTGAGTAGCACTTGAAATGTTTTTGCTCTATGAAACCTGATGTACTTATATGATTCTGTTTTCTTCAAGTTGTATCTTGTTGGTCGAACACACTTATTGTAAGTCGCTTTGGATAAAAGCGTCAGCTAAATGTAATGTAATGTAATAAAGCCTATCACGTGATGATACGTCCCCTTAACTGCTGCTCTTTTGGCTTAGTGTAGAGATCCTGAAGAATGAGTCTGTTTTTATAGCAGCTCATGCTTTTCTTCATAATTACCACTGACATACAGTTGCGTTGTATGGGTGTAATGCACAGGTATTCAGGCTACGTACTTTAAGCCACGTTTAGTAAGGTTATATGCAGAAACATATCAGTTAAATTAAATGCAATTCGTGAATGTATCTCACCTCGTCCATCGTCAAGCTTCTGTAGTTGAAGTTGCTGCTGCATCTCTGGAAACAGACTTCAGTCATTCGGTTGTAAACCAAAAGGAAGTCCCTCAGCTGCAAGAAACAAAACCAACCCAAATTACCTTCAAAACTGTTAACTTTCAATTGTGTAGCTGACATTGCATATACATGTTACTTACATTTCTTAGTTGATTTTCAGGCTCCATCGTGATCACGTCTTAAATTGACTGCTGGTTAGCTAAAATGCTAACATCCAGAGCTGGTCCGTTAATGAATCAACAAGGTTATTATGGTTTTCTCCAAGCCTTAGGTCTCTCCGGTGAATATATCACAATCCCGCAAGATGTCAGCACCAACGCATCACTTATCGTAGCCACACATGAACCGATTCAGGGAATATATTAAGATGGCATGACATTCACATGCGAGCAGCCATGTTTGAAAAAAGGATCGTCTCCGTCCTGAAAGACGCCTCACTCTGTTCCATTTCCGGTCGTTTGAAAGCAAGAGGAAAACAAGTCATGCTATTTTGATTAGTTACAGTTTTCGAAGTTTGTACTCAAACAGCAAGACAAACAAATATAGTAACTTGCACCTAATTGGAAGATATTCATTTATTTGTTATTTATCTTAATTGTCTTTATAGTAAGAAGCCCAAATGTTTGTTTAATTCCTATTACACAATTAGAGAATTGTTACAAGTCTCACCCTTTTACAAAACTAGCACACTGGCAATTAGGTGCCATTAGCATCATGACATCCACGCCTTCTGAGGGGTGCCTTCTCTGTCAAATGTTTCATTATCAGTAATTAAAATGATTGGAACGTAAAAGTTCAACACACTAATTGAATGCTAACCATTGAAACATTGTTTTTATTGAATTCGTCACAGTCACAAAGCTAAAGAGCTAGCCAAACGTCTTCCTGGAGAATGCATGAGCCATGAATGCAACCTGAACAGGTAAGTGATCAATATCCCAAAGTACAAGGCCTACTGAAATGAAGACGTTTTTCTTCAAAGTACTGGTTTTAAAAATGCACTTCATACATGGGTTTGAATGTAATAAGTCTTAATTTATAAGCATATGTTGTTTATTTACACTTAAAACAATTGATTTTCTTCCCATGCTACTCTTTGCAAATGTGAGCATCATAATATAATCTGCCTCATATAGGCAGAACAAGCTATTGTTTGCAATTGTAATCAGTGGCTTTCAAACAGATGTCATGATTTCTTGCACTAAGGCAGGGGTATCAAACTCAATTTCATCGCGGGCCACATTAGCATTATGGTTACACTCAAAGGGCCGGTTGTAACTATATAAATATACAGTCAGTCAAAAGTTTGGACACACCTTCTCATTCGAAGGTTTTTATTTATTTAATAATTTTCTACATTGTAGATTATTACTAAAGACATACAAAAAATAAAATAACAGATGGATTTATCTAGTAAACAAAAAAGTGTTACAAAATCCAGAATATTATTTATATTTTAGATTCTTCAAATTAGCCCCCTTTTGCCTTGAGGACAGCTCTTGGATTTTCTATATAAATATACATATATAAATATATAATATAATGTATTCTATTACATTATTGGCTCCGCGTTGGATTATTATCAGTTCTGGTAATAACTTCATAAATAACTACGTCTGAAAGCAGAAGTCTAGGGCAAATAATTGAAAGCAAATATTCAACAATCACACCAATTGTATTGTATATTATATTCTTTGCAAGCTCTTGGGGGCCACATAACATGAGGTCGTGGGCCGAATCCTTGAGTTTGACACCACTGCACTAAGGCCTTCAGACCTCACACACAATATGACATTTGTTTTTATTTCTGGTGGGCAAGCCCATATTGGAAGGAGATGGTTGGATCCTAAAGCATAAGGCTTTAATGCTTTTGAAAAATGATCGGAATCTTCCCGTAATCAATCATGACCAATATGACCTTTTCTAATTAATTAAGCATGTAGTTAGTCTTGTTAACCATAGGGTGGCAGATCAAAAACACACTGGTGACTCAATGTTAGTCACTTTTCCATTACTTTTTGGTGCGATCTGACAGGTGTTACAGTTATGTCTCATGTCAGCCATAAGACTTTTATCACATGTCACCCACCCCCCTCCTTTCCTGTCATTTGTTTTCTGTGCATTAAGAGAATACTATATAGAGACTGATGCAATAATGTAAAAGGATTCTTGGCGACTGTTTAAATCAGACTATAGTCCTTATGTTTACAAATGTAGCTGATATTAATTTACTCATGATAAAACTCTGCTAATTAAAACTTTATTGAAACAAAAGTAAAGTGCTAGTCTCTACGGTCTCTACGGAAGCATAAGTCAAGTATTTGACGCGCTTTTAGGCAGATATGAATAATGCTTAGCTATTTCACTTTTTATGCTGCTTTGTCAGCAATAGTGAAGCCAAAAATGAATCCATTGAGGTGTAGGAGGCCGTGGTGAGTTATTGAAATGCTGTCATCGAACAGTTAGTATACCTCTGACTGCTGAGTTCACTTCAGAGCTCAGCTCCCTCAGCAGGAAGCAGTGCAGTAAATGATCCTTCCCAAGAGAGGGAAATAATCATTTAAGCAGATGGCGCATTAGCTCTCGAGTGCAATCAATCCTAAAAGTAATGACAGTAATGGTAACTTTGACGTGGAAAATCTTCTGTGGGTGACATTTCCTACAATATGCCCTATTAATATCTCACTTATAGCTTTCCGCTTTTTACTTTCCAACCTTTAATCAAATCTTCATGTTCATTTGTATCATTCATGGTAATATAACCGAAAAGCAGATTCACGTGTGCATCGGCAAGTATATTGTTATATCGCCTACAGCGTGGAAAACAAATGTTAGATTGTTTTTCCTTCTGCTATGAGACATCAAAACAGTGAAAGATCTTCCATGTCCTGTGATGATGTGATGTCTTCCTTGTCTTTCAAAACATACATTTCCACTGGGTCCTTGACCTCTAAATGTCACACACTGAGTTTCATTTCTTTCTTTATTCTCAGTTTTGTACCTCCGCTGCACAGAGATGTACACCTTTTGTTCCTCTGTTGCTCAATCTGGAGAGTTCAAATGTATTTACATCAAAGAGGAAATTGCGCAAAAAGCTTGTTAAATATTGAAGGTAGCATTCATTCATTCTTTCAGACACAATAATGGTCAGTTAGCTTTTCTTAGGTAGCTCAAACACTTGAATCTTAATCTTGATGCTCACTATCATGACTAAAGCTGCTGTTCTGAATAGCCTCTACTTCTGAAAGCTGTGTGCATACAACCCCATTAGCATCATGTCTATCTTTTCTTCCCTCAAACTCTTGCTCTCCTTTCCACTCTCTACTTTGCCCCTTTCTTATTCCCCCCCAACCCACGATCTCCCTCTCCATGTTTGCACCCCTATCCCTCTCCAGCTCCTCTGTCTCCTGGGCGATCTGTTGACTGTTCAGGTAGATGCTGCTGTGTGAAACCATGGTGCTGGTGTTTCTGGAAGGAAGGTGAGCATCCATGTCTGCTTCCACCTCTAAGAAAGTATTCAGGGTGGGAGTGAGGTGGCCCGGCAGCTCCTCTGGAAGTTTGCTTCTTCTCTGAGCGGGGCCTTGCTGATGGCGATTCTTCTTCATGCGTTTCTTTACCAACTTAAGATCCAATGAGGCATAATTCAGGTCAGGCGCTATGGACTGGTTTCAGACAGTAGAGAAAACATGGGTTAGTGAAATGCTGTTTGCGTAGATAACCAAACAAAGCATCAGCAGTAAACACCGGTGTGATCTTCTAGGTCTTGTGGTTGTTAACTCTCATGTAATTCTGTAAGCCTAGATTATTTTTAGAACACCATGTGCCTTATTATGTGCATTGGTTCAGAGTTAAATTGACCACAACTTCAAAGGGTTTAGCTGCCTTCCGCTTTGAAAGCAAATCTCTCAGCATGGGTTTAAACAGGTCTGCATGTGTATTTTTAAATACAATGCTGATATATATGTATTTATAGTTGCGACACACGCACTGTTTACCCAGCTGGTCTGGCCCTGTCCCCCCTATTTCGCAAATGAGGGCCTATCATGTCTGCCGATATCTGGTTATCTTATGTCTGTTTGTTTTAATCTGTATCTATGTTGTTGCCAGTGACGTATTGTCTTATCTTTTTAAATGCCTTTGTGATGTGTTGCAACCCATTTTCCCCTCGGGACCTACAATAAAAATACATAATACTATATTTGCACATTTTAGACGCATTTATATTTATTGTAGAAGTACAACGAAAAGAGTAAAGCTACTCCTTTTTTAGGTGCCATCAATACATTCAGAATAGACAACATACAACAAAGACACGCAGCATTCATACATAGATAAAATAATAACAAAATAAAGTAGTAAAAGCGAATAAAGCGGTTTAGAATATTATTAGGCAACATTAGTACCTGATACATTCACATTTTATCATACGTATTGCTGATGCAAAGCTTAAGAGAGGTTTAAAGATGTCATTACCCGAGCATGAAATCCACACGATATCATATGTACGAGTGTGAATAACCCGTGCAAATAAATAACGGGTGAAAACTGAATTTTGCACCTCAGCTCACAAAAGCACGTTACAAATATTTCCTTTTTTTGCAGTTATTCTGTCACATTTTCAATTACCTTCATGCGATCTGTTGCGCGTTCCATGGTCATCGTCTCATAGCAAACCTCGACAGAATCTGAACACATGAATTGGTCATTCGGCTTGTATACGTTAGGAGCACACATATGGAGTCACGTTAAATAGAAAAGAGAAGGATCTAGAATCAATTACAACATATTGGAAATCTAACTATTTTTGAACTGTGGTTGAAAAGGAAGTAAACATTTTTGGATGCATTGATTTATACATCTATCTTAAGTCTGTTCTGCATGATATTGATCCAAATGAACTTTCAACTTGTTATGATACACACTGATATAATCTTACATTTGGTAACGTGGCATTTGCTAAAATATACTGCCTACAAATACAGCAAAAAGGAAATAGTCATAAAGGTGATTCTAACATAAATTAATTGTGTAATCAAACAAAGTATCACAGACAAAGATATATATTGTGTCATGCTTGTCATTCAGAGACTAATGTTATTATTTATATCGTTATGTTATTGTTATATACATCAGGACGGCAGATAGCTTGCACATCTTCCGGCGCAAACTGAAAACTCATCTCTTTCGACTCCACTTCGAGCGTTAGAACTACTAACGAAGCACTTTTATACTAATAAAGGACTGGCTTACCTAAAGCCAGTGGAGTAGCACTTGAAATGTTTGGCTCTATGAAACCTGATGTACTTTATGATTCTGTTTTCTTCAAGGTTGTGTCTTCCTGGTCGAATGTACTTATTGTAAGTCGCTTTGGATAAAAGCGTCAGCTAAATGTAATGTAATAATGTAATGTAATATACAAAATGATCTCTGGCTTTGCTCTCACCTCCTCTGTCTGAGCTGATGTTGCCGTAGATTGGATTTTCCTGCAGCTCTTCGTGATTGTGTTCATGAAAATAATGCCCTTCATCCTGTGAGGGGCTTCAACAACATATCACAGGTTAGTTCTATAATAAGAGGTCATTCGTAGATGTACAGCAAATAATGAATTTCCCTTTTTATATATTATTTCTCATTGTATTGCACTTATAATGGGCTGACATGCACACAAGCCAACGCATACCTTGCTCCTGTATTAATACTTCTGAAGCAGCACTCGTCCGTGTCTGTTGGAACACAATATGTATACATTTATAAAGGCCCTGTTCTTTTAAAAGCAGAGAGAGGTTTACAGTTATGGTAAACGCTAACAAAGCAATTTAATAAACATTTTAAATGCAACCATACCTTTGCACAAAGTGTCTTTTTGTCTGATGCAGAAGAAGACATTGAGACAAACAGAGATCAACAAGGCCAGAGATAACAGCGCCAGAGCTACCGCTACCGCTTCATCTGTAAAAGACAATAAAAACCACTATCAACATCTTAAACTGTGCTTTTTAAGTCAGTGTGCGAAACTAATGGTCCATAATGTTATCTGCTAACAACAGTTTGGAATTTCCTTCAGTATGTCTCAATGATAAACAGAAAAGAAAAAATATTTGCGTCATTATTCGTGCTCAGAAGCACAGATGTAATCAAATGCTTCACAGAAACTGGGAAATCCCATCCCTGAGCTTTTAAGATGTAAAAACCATAGACACAAAGAAGCTATTGTTCATTTAAATGATATGACTTTAACTTTAAAGTGTCTACAGGGTGCTACTGCATATGAGACATTTGAAGACGGCTTTAACAATATATCACACAAGCTAAATTGTTATTACCAATTTTAGGAAAACAATACTCTCAAATATGAGAAACATATATAAAATGTATTTTATTATTGTTAATAATATCTAATCTTTATATCATAATATTTATAAATACTGCAGTTCACAAGCTTTAAAATGATTAAGTATGCTGCACATGGTTTGATCAATGTGCTTACTTTGACATTAACACAATGTAAAACAAAAAGTGATGTGTGTATACTAAGAGTCAATAAACAGAGCGTTTAACCTAACATACACAAGTAACTCCAGATTCTGTTAAATACGCTTTAGAAAGGATTCAGCCTTTCCTGTTTTTGTGGTGAAAGTCGAAACACACTAAGGGATACAATATCAGTAGGAATATTAGATACAAGTTTATAAATCTGAATCTTATAAAAAAAGATAGTTGTCATCGTACCTTTCATATTCCAGCCGTCTCAAACCAAACGGATTGTTTGTCTGAAACGACGTATCCGAGTCGACGACGCATCACCGTGTTAAGAGAGTGAGGTGTGCCTGTCGTCTATTTATACTTTGCCTCAGTTACCTCTCTTTTGACACAGTGCTTTGAAAACTGCTCTTCAGTTACAAACAGGAAGCAACGTAACCTCATTCTGAGGCACCCAGTCTCAATCCCATTGTGAGGTACATTAGGATCTCAAATAGATTGCCACATTTATGGTTTATAAATATCTGTTAAGACTTCAATACTTTTAATCTAATAGGAAAATGTCTGCACACAAACAAATGAGTAAAATAAAAAAACAATATACCTTTTTTAAAAGACAGACACATATGTACTTTACTTATGTTCTAATGTAATTTAATCTAATAAATAAATACAAAATACAAAAAACTCCATCCCTATTTTTTGCCACACCTCACTGAACTTAACACTAGTAATAATAGTAATAACACTAAGTCTTGAGCTGTTACCACACTTTTTAACTTTGTTCCTAGTTCGCAAATAGTGTGCGCACAGGTCCACGAATAACAGGCACACATGTAGATTTGGTTTGGGTAGATTAAAAAAAAGCGTTTATGTAATAATTCTTGTTAATGTGCACGGGCCTTCAGTATTAAGAATGTAGCTACAGCTTGTGTGCGAAGCACATTGTGGTTTTGCTACTGTGGTCGGAAAATCTGAAAAAAAAGCAGGAATGAAAGCGTTCTCAGCACAGCCAAATGCACAAGTGAATGTGTGTGTGTGTGTGTGTGTGTGTGTGTGTGTGTGTGTGTGTGTGTGTGCGTGTGTGTATGTGTTTATGTGTGTGTGTGAAATATTGTATTACTGACCAATCCAATTTAGCAGGGTCCTCTTAGTTTGACCTGAAAAGGAAAAACTAAATTTGAATGATTAAAGACATGATCAACACACAGGAATAAAACATGTTTTATATAATCAGCAAACTCTCAGAAATATGAGAAGCTATATCACTTCCTTTTTGTGTATAATGCTAACCAGTGGTTGTTCTTCGTGTTAGCCATTTAGCCAATGTGGTTTGTGGTTTAAGCCCCACTTTGTAAACTCAAGTGTCACACGTAGACAACGGGGTCTTGACTCTTTGATATTGTCAGTCAATCAGCAATGAAGAATTACATAGGAGGAAATCATTGGGCTACTGGGCAACAAACCCTCCATCCCACAGCAAACAGCTGATTGACATAACTCATTTGAACTACTACTAATACTAAACTACTACTTTGCTTTAAAGGGCCCCTTTAATGCTCATACTCAATTTCATATTTGTATTGAGTGCCTCTACTGTGATATGATTACATGCTTTAATGTTCAAAAAGCTCTTTATTTTTCTCATACTGCCTGTGCTGCAGCACCTCTTTTCACCCTCTGTCTGAAACCAGAGTCCAGTCTGCTCTGATTGGTTAGCTGGCCGGCTCTGCTTAGAGAGGTGTCAGAAATGTCCCGCCCCTTGGCCTATCACGTACAATGTGTTGGAGCACTAGCCAATATAAGCACAAGTGTTACGTAGTGATGTCATGGATGGTCAATGGAGGCGTTTCAGGCAGGGGTGGGGGGGTGGGGGGATCTGTGTGTGTGGGATAGAAACTCCCTCTGTCTTGCACTTTGGGATTTTAGCCTTTGCTGACCATTGAAATGCACAAAAAGCTAAATAACATACTACATGAAAGGGAAAAGGCTAAATTAGGGCCTCTTGGAATGTATTAGCAGTTAGAAGGCAGCTTTTATTTTTGAAATGTACTTTGAAAGAGATGGCACTTCCTTTGTGGAAATGATCACTTCCTTAAGTTCCAGGAAGTCCTTTTACACATGGACACTAATGCAATAAGCATGTAATGGGAGCACTCGCTCCAGAATCCCCATCCATCCTTCGTTCTAAGCCCTAAACGTGTCATTATCAGTAAGTCAAGTTACTAATTATTATTTTAGCTACAAGTGTTTGATATTATTTGTGGTAATATCATTTTGTAGTAAGGATAATTATAATTTTTGTAAGAACTTGTTGCTGTGTTATAGTGTGTTACGTAATGCTGTGTAATGTTGCATCGCATATTTACCTGCAATAACCTGTTCTTGTAAAAAGTACATTTATTCTGTAAATGTTAAGAACATATCATTGTTTTATGTGTACTTATGGAGAAATGTATTTTGTTTCAGTTTCACACTTCTTACCATTAAAATCCCTGCCAAAGACAACACCTGCCTGTTACTTGGAGGAATGATGCTGAGGAGAGTTTAGCTGGCTGTTTCAATATCCACACGTTGAAAACGAGAACAGTACAGTGAAATGATACCTACATTACAGAAGAACTGGATCTAGATGTGGATTTATGTCAGTATGATGTTCTGCTTGCTGCATATCCAAGGTCATACAGCCCTAGGGTTGCCAACTTCCAGAAATGGAAAAACGGGACACAGGAATGTGTCCCCTGAAGATTTTCGGGTTTCTGGCGGATTTAGTTACTTTTTTTTGTTACTTTATTTCGGTTTTAGGGTTAGGGTTATGTTATTTAATTCTTTTGGGGGAGCCAGCCCCCTAGGGTTCAGGGGTCAAACCCCCCAAAACCCTCAAAATGCATAGAAAACGATGCATACCTATAACACAATACAAACACAATGGTCTTACACCTGCATTAGGCTACTACATCACATTGTACATCAGCATGTTCAAATCGGATAGGTGGGCACTAGGACATCTGGGCACCTCGATGTACAATTGGCTATTTTGTCCAAAATGTTAAAAAATAAATATTTGAAAAATTGTATTAAGTAATGCAAAGTATACATGATGTGAACATGCACGGTACATCATTATTAGACTTAATGTTATCCTTCAACCAACCATTTTCCCAGCATTTTCCCATCAATCAGCTGACTGACTCTCTCTCACACACACACACACACACACACACACACACACACACACACACACACACACACACACACACACACACACACACACACACACACACACACACACACACACACACACACACACACACACACACACACACACACACACACACACACACACACACACAAGACCCGAGACAGATCTCCACTCACGGGCTTTACCCAACTGTGTTTTTCTTCCACTGTTTGTTGTAAGACACAAGTCTTTTCTTTTTAGAAGGGCCAGGGCCCAGAACCACATCCTCTCTCTCTTCTCCTCTTTCATCATCACCTCCTCCACCGGCAGCGCTCATTTCCCCACACGACTGAACAGGCTGACATGCCACACGAACAGTGATGCAGCGCCCGCGCCCCACCGGAGAAAATCTCACACACACGTGCGAGCATTGTGCCTGCCCTGTCAACTGAGCGGTCCTAATGCCCTTCGGATACAGCACACAAACACACAGGCACGCAGCCAGACACACTGCATTGCGCGCAAACAGAAACATATTTTTTATTTTTCCCTTTACACGGGAATCCGGGACAAACAAAGTCCCCCCTTTTGGCTCTAATACGGGACGGTTGGCAACCCTATAATACAGTGTTATTGCAAATATGACAGAGTGAAATATTAATAGCCAGTAATAGCTCAAAGTCAACTTTCTTTGACAATATTAGATTATTTAATTAATTTATATACAATAACAAATAACACAGCCTACATAAAAACACAGTCCTTGTTTGTACAATTGCCTGCAAAGGTGTTGTAACGTCAGTTTGATATTACTGACCTAAACTTACATTACACCTACATTTTAATTTTTTGCATGTGACAGAGTTTTCACTATATCCCAGCAATTACAGAATGCAAATTATACACATTCATCACGCTATATAGTAGGAATTAAATATCCATGAACATTTGTTTCATATCTTTAGGTTCTATCACAGAGTTACACCTTGAAGTGGGCAAGGGGACATCTTGCAGCTGTATACTTGATCGGAGGAGGAGGCGGTTTGAACGGAGGCGGGGAGATCCATCCTACAGAGAGAGAGAGAGAGAGAGAGAGAGAGAGATGAAGGAGAGAGACGAGAGGTTGAGAGAGGATGAGAGGATGAGAGGATGAGAGAGGAGAGAGAGAGAGAGAGAGAGAGAGAGAGAGAGAGAGAGAGAGAGATCAGTTGTACTCGGTCGCAGGTGCAAACGATGGTTGTATGGATAGGTAATGAACGTTTTACCTTTCCCTCCTGTAGAGAAAGCCAGCCAAAACGATCAGTAGTAGGATTGGAACGATGATTAGCGCCAACAACACATCACTCCGTAAACCTCCAAAATCTGAGAGACAAGTGAAAAAGTGTCATTAAGGAGAACAGCAACAGCAACATTTAAAATAAATATATTGATAATAGATGTCCAGTATAAAAAAACATTGTGCCTTAGGCAGAAAAGTGTGTTTTGCTGTCCTCCCCCTGAGCTGTCCGCATTAAGAAGTTGTCTCCTTTTTAATGACATTTCTACCCTGTGAGGGCATCTGGCCTTAGGCAGAGAAAACTGGTATCTGCAGAGCCTCAGCATGTGATAAGAATTCAGAAGCTGAAGGCAAAGAAACTGCAGAAGTTCTTCATATGAAGGTTTATAAGTAGGTCTTGCCTATCGAGCATTCAGGTCTTTGGTCTGTATTCATTTGCTGCTTTTAAACCATTTCTACTTTTAATTTTCCAACACTGCTGTAGCTCACTTCACTTATTGCCACAAAGATAACCACACTGCACGCAGACCCCAAAGAGACTAATGTGCCACACAGTCTTAGAGCACTACTTAAAGCCTATTTCAGGGAAACAAAGGGCTGTTGATAATTCTCAGTCCCAGACAAAGTGCATGTTTAGCATTATCAATTATTTTATTTTTATTTAAACTGTATTTGTTGTATGGTAGATAAAGGGCACATGGTTTTCCTTGAAATGTTCATTTTAAATTAAAGAGAGCAAAATAACAATTTTCCAAAATCAATAAACTGTGATACACAAAGTAATTATTACCTCCATCCTCAATGACTACCGTTGTATTTCCAGTGTTCGGAGTTGGCGTGGCAACAGGATTGCCTCCCATGGACTCATTCTTTGTCTCCTGTGTTGATCTGAACACCTTATTACCATTACTTAAAGTTGTGGTTGGATTGCTGGGCACTGATTGGTCAGAAAAAGTGGATGTGTTTGGATTGTGAGTGCTGTTAATCTCCTGATCAGTGGAGCTGTTCAAGTGATAGCTGTCAGTGTGTGTGACAGGGGATGACGTGACACTGATATGTGTATAATCTGTTAAATGGGTCATATGCGCTCCATCTGTGACATTTCTAGAGTTGGGATCATCTGTTATATCAGTGCTCATATTCATGGTCCAAGTCACATTGCCATCAATATTTGGCCTCCCAGTGGTCGGTGATGTGGGGAGGCTGCTGTCTGCTGATGTGATCAAACCCTCCTCGGTCACATTGGACTGTGGTGTAGCTGTCATGAGATCTGAAAGTAGCAAAACACCACGGTAGACATGCTGTCGGCAAAAAGGTTCTCTACTATTTTGATGTTGTCACTGCATCAAATAACATTCTTTCTTTGGACCTGCACAGCTCTCACTTGTGAGAAAAGAAATACCTGACATGGGAAACTGGATTAAAAGACCCATCTTTTACATTAAGTTCCTGTTAATGTTATGGTTTAATATGTTGGGAAATATGCTTAGTTGTTCTCTTGCGAAGGTTTAGACAAAGAAATATAAGACACTCCAATCTGTATGGTGAGACTTTGTTTTTCGTACCTATTTTGTACCTAAATTGGGTTGAAACTATAAGTATTGTAGTTAATCCCTATCGAAATACGCAGTCATTTAATACATCATTGAAATGGACCCACATGGCATGTATGAGCTCTGTGCGTAATCATTGGGTAAAATAAGGTAAAGAGGTCATTACATTACATTGAGCTGACGCTTTTATCCAAAGCGACTTACAATAAGTGCATTCGACTAACAAAATACAAACTTGAAGAAAACAGAATCATATAAGTACATCAGGCTTCATAGAGCCAAAACATTTCAAGTGCTACCCAACTGGCTTTAGGTACGCCAGTCCTTTATTAGTATATAAGTGCTTTGTTAATAGTTCTATCGCTCGAAGTGGAGTCGAAAGAGATACGTTTTCAGTCTGCGCCGGAAGGTGTGTAAGCTATCTGCTGTCCTGATGTCAATGGGGAGCTCATTTTGGGGCCAGGATAGCAAACCCACGTGTTTTTGCTGATGGGAACTTAAAAAACCTGGAGCCTGAAGCCAGGGGCAAATCCAACAGTATGGTATGGATTATACACATATACTTAACTAATGATGAGTACATCTAGTCAGTATTCTCAGTATTATTCCAAACCGTCACCGGGCTGTACTACTCAAATGTGGCCAACAGATTGTGCTCTCACCCCATGTTGCGGTGTATAGACTCTGTTGTGACTCTGCTGAGTGTGTTTGTTCTCAGGGTTTGAGAAGAGAGAAAGGGAGAGCAGGACGTGACTTAGACACACTGTGGCTTTTTATTTTTTTCCTATTGCTACGTGTTGACATTAAAGTGAGAAACGTACACAGGAAGAGAGCTAGACAGTGCTATATCACCAGTGTAGGGCAGACAACATGCAGTTTTGTTGTTTCATGATCTACAACTGTACAAACTGTTTTTTAGTTAATTCAGTGTTCACCCTAATCCTGCAGGGTAATTGATTTGCAGCAAAGAATGACGAGTTTCACTCTTAAAGCTTCCAATGTGTTCACAGTTGGTGCATTCTCATAGCTGTGCGAATCTGTTCCCTTATCCTAAATACAAACCTAAAATTGAGTGAGCTTCAGTATAAAAACAAAAGCCAAGTATCAGCTCTTTGTTCCAGTAACACGGCCCAGAGGAAACGCTGAAATAGAGTACACCGTAAAGAGAGAAATGCTCACCCGTCCTCAGGCTTGTGGTTGCTGTTAGCACGGTGATGGAGAACTTTTTATGCACACTTTTGTTTCCTGTGGTGACAGTCAGTGTATAAATCCCTGAGTGAGCTTCAGTCACCAACCAGAGCTCCAGAGATTCATTCTCTGAAACCAGTGTGTTGTTCTAGGATATAACAAGGTTATGAAGCATTAAGAAACCTCTCATATACAGAAGTGTATTTGTACTGTAGGCTTTGACATCAGAGGTGATCAATAACGTTTGATGAATGAAGTGAATTTAATTGTGGGCTGAGTTATAGTTTTTATATTTTCCATCACCTTGGTCCACTTGTAATGATCAGCAGGAAACGCTGTGCATGAAATTGTCACATTTTCTCCAGGAGGAACTTCGACAATGCTTTCCGCATCACACAATAATTTAACTTCATCTAAAGGAGAGAAAATATGAGATGAATTTGGATTTAAAACACAAGCATGGGCATGTCAAACATCTGCTGTAAAATGAAAGTGTCAGAAGGATTATTATCAGATGCAATTCACATGAATGGCACCTTCTGGAATTGTCAGCTCCCTTTATTTTGTTCATAACATATTTGTTAAGGCTGGAAAGAAGGTGTATAAGGGGAAAATAAGTGGGCTAAACAAAGCTCTTAAATGTGTTCTTGCAAATATTATATACATTTTCTTAGAAGGGCTGATATTGGCTTATGGGCTCTGATGCATTCAAGAGCAAAATGAAAAATAAGCATTAAACAACAAGATAGAACTGCTCATTTGTAACTAAATATAAAATTATGTGCTCACTGGGAACTTCTCCACATGCTTTTCGTCTTACCTTTGATCTTTAGCTCTGTTTCGCTCCTGATGGCCCCCAGAGGAAAAGTCGCAATTTCACAAATATAGAAACCACTGTCCCATGTTTCTACGTCATGAAGGTGTAGATAGGAGCCGTTGGTCACATTCTGCATGGTGACATTAGGCCAGAACATCCTGAGTCCAAGATTTGGGGAGTACACAGCCAGCTTGGTGTTTCCGCTCTTGTTCTTCCTCCATTCAACACTTATGATCGTGAGAGAAGGACTACTTTGGATAATACAGGGTAAGGTAACATTCTCCCCCACTACTGCCTCCATCTTTTCATAATGTAAAATGTCAACATCCTGCTGGAGCCCTGTCAAGCACATCAGACATTGGAAGCAGTACAAGTTAGAGACACAATCACTTACATTTTGAAGTTTAATAATAATATATATATAATACAGACTGAAGTCCGCTGGGATGCAGGCAGACACTATCATAGCATTATGCTAACGTAACATGTCAAAACAAATACCAATACACATTACAAACCCATTGTGGATATCCCGAGAATGCTGGGATTTTACACGAGCATCCGTGGTTTAGGATTACCTTGTGTAATAGAGGCAAGAAGCAGGAGAGAGAAGGCCGTTCCCAGGACACCTCCAGCCATGTTCAAGCTCTCCAAACTCATCACGATCAATCAGACTGAATCGATTGAGAGGTTCAGCAAAGACAGAAAGAGTAGACTGCAAACTGAGGTTAAAGAGTGGGGTAGAGCCTGTGAGACAGACAACAGGATGACATATGTTCACAGGAAACCACACTGAGCGAGTCATATGTTTAGCGCTTTGCGGCGGAAAAAACCTCTGGTGCAAAGCAGGTTCTTGCAATAGAAAATCTCCACAGAGCTATCACTATGTATTCTATTGGTCAGGACTAACTGACGAGACAAAGAGGATAGACTTTGATCTAAATACCAGTCTAGAGAATTGACTCATTTAATTTTGGTTAACATAACTGATCATTTAAGATTCAAGATAAGACACTGAGACACAGACGCATACAAAGTACATTCTAAAACCAAGAAGACACATCCTGTATACAGTAACTGTATATCTATCATGTCCATACTCTCATTTTAGCTCCATCTGTTGGTCAAAACATACTCAACATACAATACAATCTAGAGATCTCTTTCTCCCCTTACTCGGTTTGCCGTCTTGTATAATAAAGATAACATGTCTGAAAAATGACATAGGCACGGCTTGTACATGATCAGTGTTGTCCTCTGTGCTTGTTGGTGGTGAATGTCACTTGCACTGGGATGAAGAGATAAAATAAACATGACATTATTAATAATGGGCAACTTTGGAAATTGTAAGTCCAATAGGTTCTCCAATTAACTGATTAGTTCATTTTAAAGGTCCCATGTCATGGCCATTTCTACTGATCATAATTCCATTGTTGAGGTCTACTAGAATAGATTTATACTGTGCAATTTTCCAAACTCACATTGGTTTCTCATACAGCATCTCTGTATAGTATGTGTATTCACTCTCTGTTCTAAACGGCTTGTTGGAGCTTCTTCCTCCCCCCCCCCCCCCCTCCCTGTGAGCCCAGTGTGCTCTGATTGGTCAGAAAGAAACACGTCAGAGTACCCAGGAAGTAAACAATGGAAAATGAGAAATCTCCAACGAGGTGTTTTGGGGCAGCATAGACTGTTAGAGTTTTACTCGCTACAGGGGGTACTTTGAGGGTTTTTGACTCTGCAGACCGTTCACATGCATAAAAACCTTCATAACACACAAGGGGACGGGTAATAACCGGAAAAGCATGACATGGGCCCTTTAAAGGAAGAGCAACATAATTTCTGTAAGATATAATGTCAAATTGCTGGACTTCTAATGAATTAATCAAATAATTAAATGATTTGTCTGCAGCTTCTAGATTCATACAACTACATCCAATTTGCGCAAATCATAAGAATAAACTCTGGTTGAATCTAAGTCTAAAAAACTGCTGATGATTGTAAACATGTTTTTTGTAGAAAGGTTTTGCAAGGATTTAAGGTAATTCTGTTGATATACTTGTCAAATTATCTCATGTCTAAATGTATTAGCTAAAAGAAAACAATGTTATCAGTTACTAGTATGGATCAGACATTGCAGTAATATATTGAGCATGACCTTTCTTTTAACCTGTTAAACCCCGAGCCTGTTTTTCAGGTTTCAGGCTCGAAAATGACATTCCCAGAACAAATGACTATAACTTCACTTCTAAAAGGTTTATATGAATAATTGTTGTTATCAAAGCAAGGTTACATCTGTGAGTTGGATGTAGAAGTGTCAGAATCAATATAGATGTTTCTGTGTCAGAGTAAATTCAGATGGAACATAGCAAAAAAATGTAAATTCCTGTCTCCGCCTAAAGAAAACCCATTACTTATAGTGAAGACCAACCTTGAATGATGGGTTAGTAGCCTAAAAGCTTTAGGAATCCAAAGTATAACATATAATAAGTACCCTGTATCAAGATTGAGGCAAAACAAGTGACATTTGCCCTTTTTAGAGAGGTTTATGAAAATAAAGTCCAGGCGGAATAAGCTTTGGGCACATTTGGGCACATTTGGTTCCATCAGTGCCATTTGACCTTTTTCAGGTACCAGACTATAAAAATCATTGTATTACATTGAAGCATCACTATAGGTATTCATTCCACCCAAAAAAAAAAAAAAAAAAATTTTTTTTTTTTAGGCCTGTCAGTCGATTAAAAATATTTAATTGCGATTAATCGCATGATTGTCCAATGTCCATAGTTAATCAAGATTAATCGCAAATTAATCGCACATTTTTGATCTGTTCTAAATGTACCTTAGAGGAATATTTTTCAAGTTTGTAATACTCTTATCAACATATGAGTGGACAAATATGCTTTATGCTAATGTTTATTATCATTTTAACAATGACAAATATTCTCATGAATATTAAACACAACAACCTCTGAACATTACAAATATTCGCCTCAATTCAACCTGGAACCTCTCTCATACAATAATACAATACAAAGTGTGTGTGTGTGCGTGTGTGTGTGTGTGTGTGTGATGGATCGTTGGAGCTATGTGCAACTCAAGGTATGCTCGAACGGGAGCTGCCTGGACGCTGCAATCATGTTACGCACTATCCGTGCTGAGTGTGCTGACTTTTCGTACAATGTCCCACTGTCTGGCTACCTGCATAAAGTCAATTGCTCGGCGCAGTTGTCGGCGAAATGTCGCTCCTCTGTTTTCATTTAAACAGCTCCTTATATCCGTTACACCGTATTGAGTGTTCTGTAATCAGTTACTAAATACTGAATACATGGCTCTGAAAGTAATCAGAATACAGTGCAGTTACGTGTCTTAAACGTTGGAATCGGGTCTACTTTAACGTATTCAGATTACTTTTAGAATACTTTGTTTTTCCATAGATGGGTATGTTTTGGTGAACAGGAGACACGTATTTTACTGTTTTAATGGCGTATAAAGAACTCAAACACAACATCTTGGTGTCATTCTGGACAGCTCCCTCTCATCTGCACCACACGTAAAAAACATCACCCGGACTGCATTTTTGTACTGTCTTAAAACCTTTCCTTAGAATATGTTATGAATTGTAAGGTGTCCTTGGGTGCTTTGAAAGGCGCCCCTAAATAGAATGAATTATCATTATTATTTATTATCTGAAACGATGTTATAACTTTTTCCAGTCACTTGCCCCAGGCATTCAGCAGCAGCAAACCATTCACTTTGATTTGATCCCGTTATGAATGTCATCATTTCGACAATAAAGAAATTCTACATAAACGTTATCTTGCACATTTTATCTAACCATCTCCGTTTCTAACTTGCAATATATTTTAAAAGAGATCTCTCTCTCATCTGCGTGCGGGGGCGGGGCCTCACAGACGCGTTGCATCTCTCTCTCGCTCACAGACATGCTGCAGCGCCATGCAGTGTGCACAGCTCTGCCGGTAATGAATATTACATTTTGTGAGGACATTTTTCCACCAATAATTCCAATAAGTATTCCAAAATGTATTCACTTCAGGTTTACGAAAGTAACTGTAATCAGATCACTCGTTTTTCAAATGTAACGCCAGCTGAATACAGTTAGCCTACTTGATTTTTGTATTCTGATTACGTAACGCCGTTACATGTATTCCGTTACAACCCAACCCTGCTTCTAGGCTACTGTCCCGCAGCTCCTGCCTCTCTGTTGGACTCTGTCGCAGCAGGGCTACTGCTGTGGTGCGGAGCGCACAAAGCAGACTCTTCACAACGAAGGATTACTTCTTCTTCAAGGCAGGGCAGGTTTTGCAGTACGCAGTCTACTGTCCCGCAGCTGCTGCCTCTCTGTTGGACTCCGGTACTGCACACAGTAACCACACCGCAGTCACCCCCGTCGTGCGGGCCGGATGAGAATGTCTGGCGGGCCGGATGTGGCCCGCGGGCCGCCAGTTGGTAGTCACTGCTGTAGGTCATTGTGTGTAGGTGTACTTGCACAATAAAAAAAAACGGAAACATAGGTAACATTTGACTCCAACTGGGGCAGATTTATTTCAAACATTTTACCAACGCACTATAGGCATGTAAAAACAAACATTTTACCAACGTACTATACAATAAAACCACACTGTAGGTTTGTAAAAACAACAAATATTTTACCAACACACTACAATAAAATCACACTAGGTATATAAAAACAACAAGTATTTCTTTTTAAATAAACACTCGCAAAACGTTATACCTACCTGAACTTTATACCTACCTGAATGTTCCAGTATTTAGGTCGTGCCACTCCCTGAAACAGTTCTTTTTGACAGTGAAGCACAGAGGGACCTGGCACTTCCTGCAGTACACAGGTGTCTTCACCCTTTTGAGTCCAGCATCTAGGCACCTCCTGCAGTTCTTCCTGACCTTGGTGGCATCTTCCCCATAATACTCGGCATGCATGTGAGTGGAGGAGGGGGTGGTGGAGGTGGAGGAGGAGGGGGTGGTGGAGGTGCAGGGCCTTCAGCAGGGCCTTCAGCAAACTCCAACAATTCTGCAGCAAGCTGCTCCCTGAAAGTCTTCTGGGTGTGTGGCTTTGTCCTGCTGGGGTCACTCCTCATCTAACAAATGTGGAAAAACAAAGAGATTAGATTAATTCACTGGCTTATACTTATAGGATAATATTGGACTATAAATGAATAATATTACACCAAATAAATAAGTAAACACATGTATTCACTGGCCATTCATTTAGAAAATGTAACTCCAAAAAGACAAGTAACACTATTTAGCATTTTGCCTAATCATTCCTGTAGCTTCTTGGCTAAGCTAGCACTGTGACGCAGTTCCACCAAACACATAAGTAATATATAAAAACAGAGAGATTACATACCTTTCCCGTGGTGGAAGTTCAACATCCGAGTCACTACTGTCCGGATCCAGGTCTGGCTGGAGGAGATCTTCATCATCCGACGAAGAGTCATCTGGTATGATCATAGCCCCGGGTTGCGTTCCGATAATCCAAAAATCAGCTCCTAAATTCTAACCCTATCTCCTATTCCTTGACCTCTGAGTGAAACGTCACGGGGTTAAGGGATAGTGGATAGGAGAATTCAAAAGGACTTAGGAGAAGAGACCGCGGTACTTTAGAGAATCCGAATGCACTTTCACTATCCGACGTGTTTATGATGCGCCAGCGGACGTCATGAATGTGCGTCTGCTGCTGTGGGGAAACTATGGAAACTACAGTTTTCTATACAGCGGACTACAACATGGATGTATAATAAGAAGGAGGGACTACTGTAAACTCATCTAGAGACTCTGCACCGTGCTCTGATGCTGTTGCTTTATGCTTTATGAACGGGGACAACAGA